CGTCCGCTAAGCTGTGTACTGAATATGAAGTTCCTTTCTACAAATCGTTGATATGGAGTAGAAATAGTGTTGGTGCTAGAATCAATCCTTGCGGAACACCAGCATTTATGATAGGAGGGTCAGATGAAACTTCGTCGACCACTACATGGAGAGACCTGTTTGAGAGAAAACTAGCTAGCAGAGACCATATCTGGGGAGGCGAGCCGTAATATGGAAGCTTGGCGAGGAGTCCGTGGTGCTAGACTCGATCGAATGCCTTGGAGATTTCAAGTGCCACGGCTGAGGTTTCACTATATTTTTCAATAGATTGCTGCCATATATTCGAGACGTGAGCGAGCAGGTCACCAGTTGATCTCTGATGACGGAAGCCATGTTGCCCATCGTTGATAATACCTGAATGTTCCAGGTATTTCATGAGCTCGATGTTAATAGCTTTCTCCATGATCTTTGAAGTAATTGATAGCAGTGCGATCGGTCTGTAGTTGCTAGGTAGGGTCTTCTTGCCTTTTTTAGGAACTGGTTGTACTCTCGCAATTTCTCAGTTGGACGGGAATATTCTTGATTTATTGAATGCACAGGAGACCCGAGGGACCACCAAACAGTCACAACCACATATAATCAATATTAGATGTCAGGACAATAATAGACGTTTTTTTATGTCAGTTGTACCATGTCTGAGGAAATTTTTAATTCCGTTTGAAAACACATCTCTTCTCCATCACAAATAACATATCGCGATAGCATTGCATAAAATTATATATTTATGTTATATATCGCAGAGAACTCATCGCAGCGACGTCGCAAGGATGAAAGTTGAGTGAGACAAAATAACATTCCACTGACAACCCATATAATATAGTGGTTCCATTTGAGAAAAAATATTTTTTCACAAGATGTGATGACAAAATCACGTTTTTCTAGTATGTGCGACTCATTGTGAATAACCTAGACCACATCATGTGCACATCTCATTTACCCACGAGGTGAAATATAATACATTTTTAATTTCAATATATTATCGAAAGAATGACATTTGACATTGAGATTGCACTTGTTTTGACCTATTGAACTTGAATATGTGGAAATATACAGGGTATTCCATTTGAAAAAACAAAGTTGCTGGCATTTCCGAAAAAAACAGAAATCCCTTATGTTGGAATGTAATTTGATCAAATTCGAAATGAGCGAAGTGGTAACTTATAAACTGTATCAATTTTATTTCGAAAAATCCGTCTATGAATGCAGAAGTTACAGGGTGGACCCGATTCCCTGTGTCATCCGATATATGTATACATCACAAGAACTTAGAATTTTGTAGCAGAACTTCATTAAAACTCAAAGTAATAAAGTTAACATTTCATTTGAAATGAAATCTCAACATGAAAATTGTAGAAGAGAATTTAAGAATAAGAATTTGACACCCTGCATGTCGTAAACGAATCTCACACGCATATATCCTTATACAGTAGGTTTTCTTTTCGAAGAATAATTTCTTTAGGCTATTGAAGTCCTGCTACAAAAAGCTGACTCATCGTTTACACACTGAAAAGAATAGTCGGTGATGAATACCAAACGTTTAGTGAAATAGGCGAATCGATACATTCATCTAATAATAACACTAAAAAGTTGTATAATAACTATATCAAATATTACCACTTCTAAATAGTATGATGCTTATAGCATAGATCTTATAGTATAGTATAATACAATGTTGTTGTGGTATCATTTGATGAATGTAGGAACTGGCGCCTACACTGAAAAAAAAAGATGGTAGTTATTACCAAACGTTTAGTAAAATAGGCGCCAGTCACAACTTTCATCAAATGACACCACTATACAACATTATACTATATCAAATATTACCACTACAAAATAGTATAATACTCATAGTTTAGTATACAGGGTGTTCATTTGAAAACTTCCCACCTCGAATTCCTCGAAACATGAAGGTTTTCAAGAAAATCACCGAAACACGTCAAAAAATGTATCGAGGGGGACAACTTTTTAAGCAAAAATTGCTTCGCCTCCTTTCACCCCCTGCCCTCAGGAGCTACCCCCCTAAAAATCTTAAGTGGTAAGGGGTATCGAGTGATAGCTCATTTGAAAGGTCTTTTTAATTCCTTTATTGTGGCGTTTGGTTTTTCAAAATCGGTCGATTCATTTTCGAGATAATTAGAAAAGTCTTTATTTATCTTAATTTGTTCAGATAGAAAAAAACACACGAAAATATAACTTTTTATTTCAATAAGTGTTCAAGATGTTGCCCGTTATTGGCCAAACAATGATATAGGCGATGTTCAAATTCCTGACGGACATTTTCAAAAACATCTTGTGCAAGATCACGGCAGCTTTCGATGATGCGTTGACGAAGTTCATCCAAACTTTCAGGTTGGGGAGTGAACACAATAGATTTCAAATGTCCCCATAGAAAAAAGTCTAATGGCGTCAAGTCAGGAGATCTAGCAGGCCATTCTATAGGCCCTCTTCGCCATATCCATTTATCTGGAAACTCGTCGTCTAGCCATTGCCGAACCGGAAGAACATAGTGAGGAGGAGCGCCGTCTTGCTGGAAATATATTTCAGCCTCATCAAATATAGGGTTTCCATTGTCTTCGATTTGGTTTTCAATAGTTTCAGTGATAAGCGGATTGATGGTATTTTCCAACATTCAATTTCCCATTAACGAACAATGGCCCAATCACTACAAGTTTCCTAAAATGCCTGCCCATACATTAATTTTTTGGGGGTACTGAGTATGAGTAAATTTATGTAATTTAGTAACTGTGTGTACAGAGCCTAATGCAATACCAGTTGCTTCAACAATTTTGCGTAATGACGTATTAGGATTTATGCCAAAATGACCCAAAACTTCAACTTGAGCGGCTTCTTCCAAAACTCTACGATGATTACGTTTTTTATTTGCAACAGATCCAGTTTTAGTAAATTTAGCAACAAGGTCCAAAACATACCTATGCGAAGTTATCTTGTCCGGATGTCTGGCGTTAACGGCAGTTTGCCGAGAACATTGATTTTGTGCACCATAAATTAGAATCATTTCCACCCTTTCGGCTAGTGTGTAAACCATTTTGAAAGTAAAATCTGAATCAATAAATTCATTTTCACTATGTCACAAAGGTAACTGACAGCAAATTAAATTCTCTCTCTTCCTTAGCAACTATAAAAAACAAAACTGGTATAAGAATAAATACAGTTTGCCCATGTTATTTGTGTTGATAAAAAGAAGACGGAAAAAAATTCGGGTTGTTATTCGGTTGTCACGTCTAATCTTCCGAATTGCTGTTTATGTTGGTTTTTGAACACTTATTGAAATAAAAATTTATATTTTCGTGTGTTTTTTTTTCTATCTGAACAAATTAAGATAAATAAAGATTTTTCTAATTATCTCGAAAACGAATTTACCGATTTTGAAAAACCAAACGCCACAATAAAGGAATTAAAAAGACCTATCAAATGAGCTATCACTCGATACCCCTTACCGTTTAAGATTTTTAGGGGGGTAGCTCCTGAGGGCAGGGGGTAAAAGGAGGCGAAGCCATTTTTGCTTAAAAAGTTGTCTCCTTCGATAAATTTTTTTACGTGTTTCGGCGATTTTTTTAAAAACCTTCATGTTTCGAGGAATTCGAGGTGGGAAGTTTTCAAATGAACACCCTGTATAGTACAACTTTGTAGTGGTATTATTTGATGAATGTAGTGACTGGTGCCTATTCTACTAAACGTTTGGTATTCACCACCGACAATTTCTCTGAGTGTATTCTATTAAACGTTTGATATTCACTATACAGGGTGTCCCATGAGTCATTGATCGAAAGAAGTGAGGTGGTAGGGGGGATCATTTGCATTTAAACTAACGGTATATGTGATTATGAAATTGAAGATGCTTCAGAAGTTATTATTTTTTTCTGAGAAACGCGACCTGTTAAACAAAAAAATATAATAACAAGAAGTCTGTTATGAATATGCCTATAAGCATGTTATACCATTTCAGAATGTGTATTGAATGGGCAGGTTTTTCTTATCATTGGTTTTCTTCGAGGGGTAGTTTTTGAATCTGCCAGCGGCATTCAAAAACCAACCTATATATATATATCATTAAATGACAAAACTCAAGGAAAATAACAGTTTTCTCAGGTAATTGATAAGGAGTAATACATCATAAAACAATTGCTGGGGAAAGGTGCATCATTATCATTGTGAATGAAATTCGTAAAACCAAAAATAACAAATGTGACATAGTTTTATTGTTATTTATTATTTTCATAGAAGTGAAGAAAAATTAATAACTTTGGAACCATCAGCAACAATTGGATAACCACATATACGGTTAGTTTGATAGGAAATGATTCCCCCTACCACTTCACTTCCTTTGATCTATGACTTATGAGACACCCTGTACACCAACTATTTCTCTGACAAGTTGGCTGACCAGGCACAAAAATTTTGCCTGATGGGGTCTGAATTTGCTTTGCTAGGCGTCACAAAAAAATCGCTATGGTTCGATCGCTGATTTGATGAGAGACCGTTTCTCCTTTCGAGACACATCTTCAGAACAAACATTTCAATTGGCCCACCATGTACATTCCATATAAATTCGACATACGCATTAACTAATTCATTAATCACAGAACGTAAATAACACCAATCTCACTCGCTCAAATCCATTTAATCTCCCCACAAGCCGTCGCTCAATCAATCAACCAGACAAATATTGGCTCAATCTCAGATTCTATTGGTTAGGGGCGGAGTTTCGGTGACGTCATCCACACGCTAGTAACTTTGAACCTAACCCGATGCCGAGTTGAGGTGACGATGAGAAACTGCTCTTAAGTAAGAATAGTTTAAGGTCGTCCGAAGATTGGAGATCGGTATGGTCCAGCACCGATTGAGATTCAGTGATTTGTCTTTGAAATATTAGAGGCTAATATCACAATTAGCTTTTTGGTTTCGAACCGAGTGGTAGAGTTAATTGGAGGTTAGTCAATCGAAGTGAAAATAATGTTACAACAGTACGAGATAAACTCGACGGAGCTACATTGTGACATCACCAGTACTACCCCTTTTTCTGTGAAAGACATTTTGAACATGAACGTACAGCACGATAGTGAAATTTACATGAATAATTGTGTGAAAAAGGAACCTTGCCAGTTTTGGGACGGTTCGTATTTTGTGAGCAATGAACAGTACAATAATAATTACCATTTTGGTAATGACGCTGACAGTTACATCAACAAAGCGTACTGGAATTGTGATAATGGTTACGGACAAGGAAATTCTACACATCTGCAGCATATGAATAATATGTATGTCACCCATAGTGGCGTTTCACACAGAAGTGGCAGTGGGAAAGAGGAAGAATATGCCAAAATTGACAGTCCAAGTAAGTTTTTTAGTCTGAATGTTACCCCCCCCTCCTCTCAAACATTTTTGTATACCTGTATCTCATTATTTTTGTTCATTTAAACCTTTCAACTTCGTGTACAGGAAAGTAATTATTGTGAATATGGATTCAGGGTGAGAATGAATAAATACCTGCAAATTTTGGGAGATGATTTCTTGTTATGAAATAATTCCTATATACCCGAGTATATACCTACCTATTCATATAAACATGTGCTCTATAACTTGCTTAGTTTTGGAGATTCAATAGGAATCTATTCAATCGTTTTCACATGGCCCCTTTGTATAAGCTTCCATATAGGGCCTCAATTCAGTCTGATTATGGTGACTGACAAATTCTCAGTATTTCAGATTTCAGATTGATGATGGTTTCTCTTGAGAGCACCTAAACATTGAAATTCAGAGTCAAATCGTATTTTTATATTTTTTCCTCAAAAACTGAGCGAGAAACAAAAGTAACACGAGGAGAAAAAGGTTGTATCTTCAATATTGAATATAAAAATGGCATAATCGTACCTATAACACACTGCGACGCCACTGGAATTATTTTTCCAAATATCATGCCAAAAGAATAAATATTCCACTACTAATGAAAGCATCAAGTTTCATTGGAATTGAGAATAACAAACAGACTGAGTAATTGTCTATACAGGGTGTCCCAATATTAGCCTGCCAAACCTCACCAGCAGCTTTCACTATCAAAAATGGGAAGAGAAGTACCAATGAACATGAGACGAGAAATGTCTCCTGGCTCCCTCTGAAAGGGGCTCCTGAAAATGATTTTTCTTGAGTATTTAGAAACTCCATGTGATAAAAAAATAGTTATTTATTATACAAGGGAAAAAAGTAGTAGATTTTAGCTCCAGGTTGTGTTGTCTCCCGACACGTAGCGGAGGGAGACAACAAACCGTGAGCTGAAATCTAATATTTTTCCCGTGTATAATACACTATTTTTTTCTGTGACAGAAGAAAGAACGAATCAATATTGAGAAGATATTACATTATTTTGATATCTGAAAGTTATCGACGTGAAATTTTAAGTTTTTAACAGTAGGGACACCGCGTTGTAGGCATCTATATCATTCATTTGAAGTAATCAAAAATCTGATGTCACTTCTGTCAGTCTAATTTTGTGATTTTATTTCAAGAAATTGCGAATTCAGTGGTTATTTAGCAATACTCATACAAGATAAAAGGACTTGCAGTTCTTTCTCGGAGACGGTATTATTGACTCATTTTTCGGAACTATAGCACAACAAAAGCCATCAACAGGGTATATATATGTGATATATATCCGGGAAAGAAGTACTCACTTTTTTTCCCACGGGTAAAAAGTAATTTATGAAAAGTGACATTTTATAAACTGCCAACAGGGATGAAATGCCAAACTTTTTTCCCGTCACAGAAAAAATGCAATTTGGTACAAGAACTGAACTTTCCATGCTCAATGCAGTGGGAATGAAATCATTCAAAAACTTCACTCAGGAGTGTATACTAGGTGGGACTACATTGAATATTGCTCAACATTTTTTGTATGCATATTTTTCTAGAATTTCATCCTGGATTATGAAAATCCTCACTTTTTTACAGAAAAAAGGTACTTCCTGTTCCGTGACGCTAGGATGTATCATTATCGAGTAAAAGCGATTTAAACATATTGTGACATCTCAGATATAATGCATAACATTACAATGAGTCGTAGGAGGAATGGAAAAAAATGCACAAAAATTTAAGTAGTTTTTTATCATTTCCCTATTTTTAGCGCTTTAATCAGATTGTTTGGAGGAAAAAAGTACATGATTTTTTTTATAGCCACTATGATTTGAAAATCGGCAACTTCATGCATAAGATATGACTGTATCAATATTTTTAAATCGATTTCAGTCAAAAAATTATACATCTCTGATCGATGCAAAATATGAAAACCTTTTTTCTGTGAAACGGTGTGGATTTTCATATTCCGAGATTCAATTATCGAAAAATATGCACACAAAAAAGTTTGAGCAATATAATAATGTAGTATCATACACTACTGAATGAAACTTCGGAATGATTTGATGTTCATCGCATTGGGCATAGAAAGTTTAGTTCTTGTACCAAATTGCATTATTTTATCACGAGGCGTTTCGAAAATATTCAAGAAATATCATCTTCAGGAGCTTCCATTCAAGATGCCGACTCACGTTCATTCGAACTTCTCTTCCTATTTTTGATCGTAGAAGCCGCCCGTGGAGTTTGGCAGGCTAATTTCGGGACACCCTGTATGATAATGACGATTATTAATTGGGACATTGTTATATAAATATATCCTGTTTCTCGAAAACGAAGGAAGATATAGGACAAAATGTTAACCTATTATACATGAAGCACTTTCTGTCCAAAAATTTGACAAGCAATCGTCTTCCTTTTAGCATTCATTCATTCACACCCTGAAAAGATTCCTGTTTGTAGAAAAATGAGAAAGTATAGTTCTTGAATGATTGATACATTCATATTGTGTCAAAAAGACTCCAAGTTTCCGAAAATCATCAAAGTAGGTACATATACAGGGTGTTTCTTCAAGACATGCTAATATTCAAGGGGATGATTCTTCAACGCATTTCAAGAAAAAAACTTCTCACTAACGTATGTCCTAGAAGTCCTAACTTTTGAGACACAGTGTAATACAGTTTTGAAAAAAAAACAGTTTTTTGATACCTATTAACTGGAATAATATTGTAGTCATCTTTATGAAATTTGGTACATATCTTCTATGCACCAAGGTGCATTTTTTGATGTATACGAATTTTCTTTTTCTGTACCAGTGGCGCCGTTAGGGGGATGTGATTGATTTTGTTATACTTGAAAGTGAGCAACGAAGGAATATTTCCAAAATTTAATAAAATGGTATGAAGATTCATTCAATTTGTACAAAGAAGACCTCCCTGTTCATACCCGATAGGACGCTCCGTTTTCGAGAAATATCGAAAAACGAGATAAAATTTCAAAATTTTGATGTAAATGATAAGCTTGAGTACTCCATTCAGGACAGCTATTACTAGATAACCACAGTTTATAACATTTTGAAATTTTTGCACCGTTTCAATCACATAGCAGAATGAATTTTGCCATTAGGAAAAGCTATACAGGGGTGGCAAAAAAAATCTATGTATATGTTCAACTTCGATACCCTGTATCTCAAAAGTTATAGTAATTTTAGGACATATATAGGTTCATATAAAGTTTTATTCTTGAAATGGACCCAAGAATCGCCCCCTTGAATATTAGCATGTCATTAAGGAACACCCTGTATATACCTATCTTTCTAGAAAGTTATTTTTCAAAGTGAAATCAATTTTAATGATCAAGCGATTCTATTATAGGTAGGTTTACAATAACATCATCTCTGATCAACATTTTTTTATGCTATTCATTATTATTTACGTTCAAATTCGAGACGCGCATATAAGTACCGTAAAATTGAAATAAAAACAACTTTCCCCAGTAAACTTTTTTGAAATTCAAACTAAGCCTATTTTCAATGATCAATTTGAAATTCCTCAAACTGTGGTATATAGTCCTTGTATTTTTCATATTTTTCATAAAGCAAAACTCAATGTCCATGTCGACTTTCGACAGAAATGTTCATTAAAAGTGTGAAGTGTCTCCCATAATATATGATGCTGACTTTATGAATGACACTGTACAGGATGTCCCAGTGTCGACGTCCTTACGGGATAACTCACTGATTTCTAAAGATAGAGATTTGCGGTTTTCGCGAACGATTTTGCATCGTTCTTGAGATAAAGAGCGAATTCATTTTACTTGATTTTTCTGGATTTTCTCTCTTCCTTTCTATAAAATAAATATATTCGTATTATTTCAATATATTTGTAGTGGGACTAATCAGATGATTTACCCCAAAATGTCACTGCGTTTAACAAATTTTTCTATCAGGAAGCCTAACAGCAAAATCCAGTAGAAGCTTGTCAATGACACTTCGTTTAAAAAAATGTTTGAAGAAAAGGAATATAGGTAGATATATTGAAAAAATATCGAATTTTTACTTATCTTTGGACGTTTCGGGAACGAATCTGTTCCCGTTCTCAACATGAAAATGCAACATATTTCTCTTTGGAAGTTGTGCTCTGATGCTTATAGTTTGACACTTCTCAGTGACATTTTGCTGATTTGCCCCACTATATATTGAAATAATGAGAAAATTTTTATACTATAGAAACAAGGAGAGAAAATCCCAAAAAATCAAGTAAAATGAATATACCACCTCCTCGATTAACCGAGCAAAATTGAAAATGTTGTATTTTGGGACTCCCCTTGTATCTCAGCTATCTTTCAACTTCATTAATATCAAGAGTGAGAACTGTCACTTATGCAGTTTTCCACACATGGTATCCGGTGGTGCATTGAGATTTTTAAAATAATCTTTCATCATTTAGAGATAACCCAAAGTTCGGTTTTTTAAAATGGAACACCCCGTATATTTTTCCATATTCTAATTATTGATGCTGAGCGCTTTTCAAAAATCTCTAACACCCTTGATTATAGAACTAGCTGTCACTCATACGATCTCTCGAGTAATATCCTTGAATTTGAATATTTCACAATTTTTTTGTATATATTTTTCATTGATCCGCCTTCTAAATGTGTGCATTTGTGCAACCGAAATGTTGAACCAGAATGATTATGTTAAGTCACCACCGATGTGACTCACTTGAAAAATTATTATAATGAATTTAGTTAGTAGAAAGAAGCAACACCTCAGACTACTTTACTTTGTTACGCACGAATTCAATAATACCTATCCACCAAACGTGGATGCCGTGCCATATCATTTATGCAATATGACAAATAATCCTTGTGGTGAGAATATTCTACCTGATGCATTTACAGATCAGATATATTAAATTCTCAAGGATGTTCAAATCGTATTTTCAATATAAACACAAACACAGGGCACAGAGTGACCCATTTGTGTATTCCATTGAAAAGATGAATTCATTTGGACCAGTCAGTCCTATAATAGCAAATAATACCGCGCCTGTAACAGGTATAGGATGAAGCATTGGAAAATGTTAGGCTTGTGAGCATATCAATCTATTTCTCTCCATATTCCACTGTGGTTGGCTCGGTTATAAATAAGGTAGACAATATGGTTGCGTGAGATAGTAAAGTATCGCTGGCTGTGATTATTCAAAAGCAAGTTATCCAATCAATCAGATCTCATGGGTATGAAATGCCAAAACTGCCGAAATCGAAAAAAAATCAGGTATGCGTCTCAACCCGAATGAGTACAACTTTAGTTCCTAGGAACTAAACGTGTTGCCTAGCAACATACCTGTTCATCTGTCAGTAATAGAAACGTCAATTTAAGAGCTAATTTTGGCATTTAAACGGATGATACTTTTGTGTCGATTGTAGAATAACTCTTTTTTTAAATATAGTTGCAACTGTAAATTATGATGAAACTTTTTTCTCGAATATCTCCTTATTAACAGTGGAGTAGGAAGTGATGAAATATTTTTCTCTGCCTAATTTACAGTTGCAACTGTTCGTGATTTTTTTTTTTCCTGGATGGCACTTCAGACGCGCCAAGATTCAAAATAGGTATAGGGAGTGCAATAAAAAAAAAAAAAAAGAATTGAAACTTAACCTTACCCTATTGAAACGTTATTATTTTCATTACGCAGCAGACGTTTGAAAACGATTTATCTCGAAAATTGTGAGTGATATCGAAACTAAATAAAAGATTACCTACTATTATATGGTAGTGAAATATATGACATTCTCATATATCCTGTTCAATCTGCCAAAAACTCTATTAACAAAAAGTTGAAAAGAAAAGTTCTTCTAGCCCTACCTCAGTTATTCCTTCTTGCTTTTTATTTTCAACATCATCAACCATTTCAACTTACCAACTTGAAACCTATTGACTTTACTTTCATCGAATCATAAATTTCCAAAAAACATAACTGCCTGGAAATCATATTATGATTATAATATGCATATTCTCGAGATATTCTTCAAAAAAAGAACTGAACAAAACACCTAACTGTGCAATTCATGCCAGTTATATGGAAATTTCGATACAAAGTGTCCTATTGAGAAATATAGATAGAACAACTGCAGATTCTTGAAATGTGGAACAAAACATGCTTTCAGATGAAATATTACGCATTTCTGGTATAAACTGAGTGTTGAAATTATCATTTGAAAAATTATTAATGGCTATTTTTTCTATTTCTCTTTACCAACTTGGCTAACGGTAGTAGAGGTCATAAAGTACACCTATATTTATATACATGTATGGAAATAGTTATTTTTGTATCTAGAGCGCGAAATGCTACTTTGGTGATCGAGATCTGATTTTTTCAACGAGGCGTAGCCGAGTTAAAAAATAGTCGAGATGACCAAAGTATTTCGCGCTCGAGCTGCAAACAACATTTTTTCTACAAACGTCAAAAAGTATCGTTCTTAAGTAAAAATATGCTTAGCTTGATATAAAAAATAGTGTTGAACTGGCTTAAAAGGCCTCCCCGTATCCTCCCTAGATACGCAAGATGTTCCACGAACATAATAGGAATTTCCTTTCGTGCGCTCCAAGAGATAAAACAAAGTTATTGTCGAACATTCAAAAATAAATAATTTCGTGGATGTTTGCTCGATTGAGGACCATAAAGTTGAAATATAAATATCTCATATATTTTACATAACAATGCGCGAAGTAGGTACTTCGCGCACTGTTTTACTTCGCGCATTGTTTTGTGCAAGATATCATGGTAACGTAGGAAACTGAAAAAAAGTGTCACTTCGCAATTTGTTATCAATGCGCGAACCTTGTCATTTTTTGACGTTTGTAGAAAAAAATAGTTCATTGAGCTTTACCAGTGTCCTACGGCATGGGTATAAGCAGCGTTAATCTATGGTATAATAAGTAACACATTTACTCCTTCTAGATTTCATGCCACCATAATTCTGACATATTTGACATTTTTGACGTAAATTATGATGTGTACTTATATTGTCCTGTACTTGTGGAGTGATTGGTTTTCGAGATATTCACACTAAGAGATTTCACAATGCCTATTCAACTCAACAGTGCAAACAAAGTTTGCAGAATGTATAACGAGTATAATGGAAAAATTACAACCTCAAAGAATTCATCAATTGTTATAGCTTTACTTCACATAATCGTAAGTTTTACATTTCCAACATTTTCAGAAATTCCACATGTGACTAGTTCGAAAACAGAATTACGGAAATCTGGACGACAAAGGGCGAAACGGAAACCACGTGTTCTTTTCACGCAGGCGCAAGTGTACGAGTTGGAGCAGAGGTTCAAGCAGCAAAAATACCTTTCTGCTCAAGAGAGAGAACAAATGGCACAAGGATTGAAACTGACACCCACGCAAGTCAAGATCTGGTTTCAAAATAGAAGGTATGTCAGTTTTTTTCCAATCCATATTGATTTTACATCATAATCAATAAAATAAAATTTAAAAAAAAAAAAAAAAAATTCCCCAAGCGGCAGGGATAGTGGCTCTTTCCTGCCGCTTAACAGGCAGAAAAGGTAATCTTTTACTGCCTAGACTGAAAAAGTTTGTTGCTATGCAACGTTCCAAGAAATTCTAATGAACTTTCAGGCGCGGCAGTTAATCTACTACTTTTCTGCCTACTAAAACAAATAACTATTTCAGAAGAATCTTTTATTTAAACGCTCTGAAAAGAAAAAGATGGAATTCTCCTTTTGAATTTGAACTATCAACCTATATCCTCATTATATACAATTTATGTGATCATGAAAGCTTTTCGCATTGATCAATATTCAGTTGAATTGAAATTTAAAAAATTTAAACTTAGCAGATCTCTCATAATTGAATTAGTACTAGTTTATTTACTCAAGTAAATCGTTGAATTTAAATTTTTGAAATTTCATTTCAATTAAATATTGATCATCGCGACAAGCTCTTATGATCAATGAATTGAGCGTATAATGAGTATGAGTTGATATTTAAAATTTAGAAGGAATATTTCATTCTCTTCTTTTCAAAACGTTTACATACGAGTTTTTTTCCAATTTCAAAGCAGCATTTTGCTGATCATGAAATGGTGCAACTTCGCCCTGATTCAACCTACTCTGTATCTCTCAAGGTTAACGAGATCCCCATGCTTAGCCACGAATTTGTAATACCCTGTATATTCAATAAATACAAATAGCTCAAAGTCATTTCCACACAATATTCATAAAATGAACAACAATGGTAGATTTTGAGAAAAAAACAACTACTTTCCTGGCTAATGCCACAGAGAACATTTAATTTCTATACCTCCCGAAATCTATGCATCGTCGACTCATATAAACGAATACTGATGCAAGTGTTTTCGATTTAGCCAGGCCAAGCTGGACACCTACAGACCGGTTTCAAGCTCTCATCAGTGCAGAGCGGTCTCCAGCCAGCAGTCGTAAGACCGCCGACTAAGCGTAGCCTAGCCAAACAAAAATCGAGTCAGCATTATATTCCCTCAGAGGCGTGCTCCATAGACGATATGAGACCAACGCCATCTGAGTAGGAGAGAAGGAGACAAACACTCCAAAACCAAAATTCTCATACGGAAGTGAATGGTTGCCCGACTGGCGTAATTTCAACTACGAAATAGCCACAATGCTCAAAGTTTTGGAGTGTTTCTTTCCTTCTTTCCTACTCAGATGGCGTTACTGTCATATTGTTTATATAGGACGCCTCTGAGGGAATATAATTCCCACTCGATTTTTGTTTCGCTAGGCTACGCTTAGTCGGAAAGTCTGTCAGTTTGGCTTTACTTGTTCTGAATCTCTTCTCATAATTATTCTGTCGTTCATTGTCAACTCAATTACTCAATTACTATATACAATACCTCCTGACGGACTCGTGGTGTTGCTTGACAACATAACTTCGTGAACAATTTTGTTTGTTCTAAAATTTGTGAACAATGAAGTGACAAAATTATTTCGAATTATATCGATGATTATCGATGAAATTATCGATGAAATTTTCGATGATTTTCACTTAGATAATATCGACAATATTCACTGATCCGAAGAATGTTACATGATTTTCTATTTCTTTTGCTCTAGGTATAAAAGCAAAAGGCAAAAAATCGAAAAAGCGGAGCTGATGGAAAAAAAGAGCCCAGACGCAAGTGTCACCAGTTCGAGTTTCTGTTTGGGACAACAAATTCCTCAAGGAGCTTACGTCTACCAAAACAATGGAGCTTCTTACGAATATAACGAATATGTTTGTTCAGAGAGGTATAATAATGACTTGAGTTTGTCATTCAACTGATGCATCATGCAAAAAAGTCACAAGTCTTTATGAAATTTGTATTCCATTTGAATGACAGGTGATGAAATTCTGGAAAGAAAGTTTGTGAAAGAATATAATATACAAGAAGTGCACTATCTAAAGATATACATTTTGAGCTGAACTTATTCGTTCTCAAATCATGTAGGTGTAGCATCAAAACTGAAGAACTCTGTCATTTCGAGTTTCCTTTCAATCTAAAAATTCAAGAGATATCTAGACAGACTATATTATATCATTGAAACTTGGCTATATACAGTCTGTCCAAGATAAGGTTGAACAGCATGGGGATCTCGGAGACGGTAGGAGATACGAAGTCGCTTAAATGGGGAAAAAGTTGCGCATTCGGAGGCTCATATCAAGAGCCTTCGAAAATTTCGAAAATTATTTTTAGTTTTCGATTTATATCGAAAAAAGTGAATTTTTGGAATTTCTATTTTATTTTTTTTCTCCGTTATTATCAGAGATACAGAAAAACTGAAAATACTTTTTGATGAGTTTTAACGTGGTGATACCGATTTTTTTATGCGACGTTTCGTATTCGTGGAACCATCATCAACTTTTGTTTTTTAAATACGGTCCTGATAATTTTTTCACAGATTCTGAAAGGTTTTTTTATTTTGAATTCAACAATGTACCATACAAGGTGATTCGAATGTGTTTCGACCTATTTCTATCCATCATCAATGTTTTTTCGAACTTCCAAAAGAAAAAAGCCATCAGTTCCACTTATTCCTGATCATTTAGTGTCAAACTTGATGGATTAGTTATTCAATACTGAAAAGTGAATAAAAAATATTTCACTACATCATTCGATCAATGCAGCGTTTAAAATTGTTGATGAATTCTTACACGAATTACTTTAACAACTTAACTTTGACAATACCTACAGAGACATTCATAACAAATGTTCAAAATGATAACCATTATTTTCTGAACAAAGATATCCTCTTCTCACAGTCGCTTCTAAGACATTGCTAAGCATTTATGGGGTTATTCTATTGAATGCTTCGAAGACACTGTCCCTTAGTTCTTCTTCATCATCAAAGTTATTTGCGTGTACAAAGTTCGATATATCTCCTAAGAAAAAATCCAGCTGTGTCAAATCAGGCGACCGCGCCGGCCAAGGGATAAACACGCACGGACTTCTCTGGAATTATGTACCGGAGCGCCATCTTGTTGAAACCAACAGTTCTGAACTTCCGCAATCGGTAAATCATCCAGAGCTTCCTCAAGATGATTCTCAAGCGAATTTCTATAACGTTCGGAAGTCTGTGTTTCATGGTAAATAGAAGGAACAATAATTCGTGTACCGAATATTGCAACCCACATATTAAAGCCGAAACGGTGTTGGTGTCTCGCTGTAATGTATAAATGTTCATTTTCTCGTGAACAATAATGTGTATTTTTTCTATCGAAGCTACCATGATCAGTGACCATGCTCTCATCAGTCCAGATGATTGTTCGAAAGAAATCTGCAAAATTTCAACATTTCCTGGTATACCACTCACAGAATGTCTTGCGCCTTTCGTCATCGCCTGGTTTTAGCGCTTGACATATTCTGAATTTGTATGGATGGAATTTTTGTTTCCGCAAAATGAAATGGGTTGTTGATTGAAACCAGTTGATGAGGTATTAGTGTGTTGACTAATTTTCCTTCAAAATAAGTGGAACTGATGGCATTTTTCCTTTGGAGTTTCGAAAAAACATTGATGATGACCAAAAATAGGTCGAAACACAAATGAACCACCTTGTATAATACATGGTTGAATTCAAAATAAAAAAAACCTTTAAGAATCTGTGAAAAAATTATCAGGACCGTATTTAAAAAACAAAAGTTGATGATGGTTCCACGAATACGAAACGTCGCATGGAAAAATCGGTATCACCACGTTGACCGTCATTAAAAGTTGCTATGGAAAAGTATTCTCAGTTTTGCTGTATCTCTAATAATAACGGAGAAAAAAAATAAAATAGAAATTCGAAAAATTCACTTTGTTCGATATAACTCAAAAACTAAAGATAATTTTCAAAATTTTCGAAGGCTCTTGATATGAGCCTCCGAATGCGCAACTTTTTCCCCATTTAACCGATTTCGTATCTCTTACCGTTTTCGAGATCCCCATGCTGTTCAACCTTATCTTGGACAGACTGTATATAGAAAACTATACAGGGTCTGGTTTCATAAGGATGAGGTAAAAGCTCAGAATGGGCGAGTGGAAGAATTTTTTTTCATTCTTTAAATAGAATCATCACTCAAATACCTATCAATTCCATATTTTTTCGAAATTCTTCGGTCGATTTCAAGGTGCTAAAATACTCAATCAAAAACGGCCAGAAATATACCGCGGGTGAAAACTGACGTCATGATTTCGTAAGTAAGGGCATCAGACCAAAGCACAGTTGCCATATGTTCAAATACGATTGGAAACCTCAGAAATATCAGTTATTCCACAATCCATAAATTCTCAATTATGTATTGTTAATATTCCTAATTGACAATGAAAAATCAATTGTCTAGCTCTTGAATTGACGTTTTTATTACTGACACACAATAGGTATGTTGCTAGGCAAACATACTCACTTCCTATAGGAGCTAAAGTTGAACTTTAGTTCCTAGGAGCTTAGATTGATGAAAAATGCTCTACTTGAAAATTATTATTGTAAACTAGGTAGGTAGGTACCTATAATATTTCCAAAGACCATCATACCAAATGAAGTATTCACTATTTTAGTTCATTTTAGTTTTAGACTGACGTTTCAAGCTTTATATTAGATAATAAGTCAATTTGAATGTAGTTATAAGGCTCTATTTACATGGCGATTCATTGAAGAAAATCAGCAGGAGATGGAAAATATTCAAAGTATAATACTAAGGTGCCTAATGAATTACAATTGAAATATATTTGCACTAGATTTATTTTGGCATTTCTTCATAATATAGATATCTATATATGTGTGTGATCGACTCAGCGAATTGACCTGTATACATTTGTAAATATCTTATTGAGTTTGTAAATATTTATTTGAAAAATGAATATATTTTTACTAAGATTCTTATTTTATATTATTTATCTACGAAAGCGTCTAGGAGTCACAAAATTATAATAAATTTACTTTGTTTTTAAATAAATTCAATATAAATTTCCAATATATCGAAAACCCAATCCAATATGTTGAAAAAAAATTCTATTTATATCGAAAATATTTTCAATGTATTGAAAAAAAATCCAATATATTGAAAAAAAATCCAATAAATTGAAAAAAAAATCCAGTATGTGGACGAAAAATTCAATAAATTGAAAAAATCCAATGTTATTATAAATATTTAGTACCTAAAGGGTTATTTCAAGTTGCATGCAAATATAGCTGATTTCATCAGAAATTCAGATGAAGAATCGAATACATGAAATTGAAAGGCATAGGATGAGATAATAATATATTGTTATAGAGAGTCGAAGTGTTGGTGAGTTGGCAAACGATCGAAGCGAGGCTAATGTTATTTCGAACAAGCAATTCGCAATACTACAATAGAATATACGGAGTGACACAGGAGACATGTAGCAGCCTGTAGTTTTTTTATTTGAAGGGATAACATTTTCAAATTCACAGGGGGTATATAATAAATGGTAGCGCACGTTACGAACTTAACGACAATTTTTTTCAACCCCTTCAGTCTATCTTTTTCGTCTTGGAATTCTCTATCCAACCATGTATCACGAAGTGGCATTTATTGCTTAATTCGCTGTTGAATTGCTTTTTATTCAAAAACAATAAGCTGGCTGTGATATGAATTCGATGATATATCGACACTTTTGGTAGGCTTTGAAATTTAAATACCATTAGTAAACCGATATTAATCAAAATGTTTTGATATTCTCATCAATGTCTGCAGGTTGTCAATAGCTCGTTTGAGAAAATCCTCGAAAATAACTCATGATATTGAGGAATCTAAGATAGGAACATATTTTTTCGAATTCAGCTACTCGTACAGAAACTATCTGTCTTTTATTTTCGTCATGTACCTATCACATGATCTTCCCATTTGGAATAATAAAACTGAAATTGTTCCTCTTATACGATGATCCACAGGGCTATCATTCTATTTTTTCATAATTATTTCACTTGTTGTACCTACACAAAATGTTTCATGTTTTTGACAGTTAATCGATTGCATCAATAATTTGTCTTCTTCATTTGTGTGTTGATTAAAATTGCATATCATCAATATAGAGACGAAAAATGTATTCAAGAAACGAAAAAGTCGATACACCTTATAGGTGTGTCAGATAAATACAATATATTGGAATTTTTTGCCATCGTATTGATTTTTTTTTCAATATATTGGATTTTTTATGTCACGGTTGAATAATTTTTGCCGCATGCGCATAGTGTTTGTTCCACGAATCGACTGCACATAATTGTGTCTTACATTTTGACGATAATTTTCCTGCTGTTCAACTTACTCGGCTCGTCAGAAATTGTATAGTATCTAACTCTCAGTACTCTCACTCTCTTTCTGCGAGTGCAGAGCAAAAATCCATATCCACCAATTTATAATATCGTATCTATGTGACATACTTACATAGGAAATGCATGTTCTGTAAAATCACATCGTTACGCAAGATTACACGTTACAGAAATAGCTACTATTGTAGTATTGCGTATTGCTTGTTCAAAATATATTGGAAAATAAATCCAATATATTGGACTTTTTTTTCAATACATTGAATTTTTTTTCAACATATTGGATTCAATTTTCAATATATTGGATTTGTTTTCCAATTTATTGAGAATATTTTCAATATATTTTTTTCCAATATATTGAATTTTTTTCCAATATATTGGATGTTTTTGTCCAATATATTGGATTTATTTATTTAAAAAATGAATTTATTATAATTTCGTACGAAAGCGTCTAGGGGTCACCATCAATAAATTGGAAAAGAAATCTAATATATTAAAAAAATATCCAATATATTGAAAAAAATTCCAATATATTGAAAAAAAATTCGATAAATATATTGAAAAAAAAAATCCAATATATTGGATTTTTCTTCATTATTCAAATCCAGGAAAAGTGAGTAGTGAGAGATGAATGTGCCAAAAGCTGCTTGTTGTGTTAGAGTGCATTAGTAGTGCTCTGCTCGCTTTGACTGATTATAATATTACCACGACTCAATACGGAAATTAACAATGATGGAGATTTACTAAACGTCTCAAGAAATCATACTGATTTTATAATAAAGGATTATTTTCTGAGTGGTATGCATCATGAAGAAATACTAGCCTTTCTGTATTTGAGACATAATATGGTAATG